AGTGGTGGTGTGGCTGTATTTATAGTAAAGCGTGGCTGCATTTATAGTGGTGGTGGGCGTGGCTGTATTTATAGTAGTGGTGGGCGCTGTATTTATAGTGGTGGGTGTCATTTATAGTGGTGGTGGGCGTGGCTGTATTTATAGTGGTGGTGGGCGTGGCTGTATTTATAGTGGTGGTGAGCGTGGTGCATTTATAGTTGTGGTGGGCGTGGTTGTATGTTATGGTGATGGTGGGCGTGGCTGGATATTATGGCGGTGGCAGTAAAGTGAGCTGAAACACTACCACCATAAAATAACTACACCCTCGCCTGATATAGTGTGTGTGTGTTTAACTTCAACTGGAAATCTCTCTCACACACACACACACACACACACACACTCAACCCTGGTAAGATCTTGGTCCCATGACAGCACCAGGCAGGGTTAAACACCACCACACCTGACCATAAACTGACAGGGCGTGAAACATCAACACAGCCTGGGGGGTGTTAGGAGGCCTTCCCGTCATGTTCTCAGGGCTCCACACTCTATCCTTTCCACTTCCCGCCCCTCTCCTCATATACTCAGAGATCACAGCTTTGGACAGGGAAGCTTAAACCAACTGTGTATTCAACCTGAGCTGCTACACCACATTGACGAATATCACAGGGTAGCAAACTAACTATTATTATCCCGTGCCTTACCTGGATGTGGGACACACACACACACACACACACACACACACACACACACACACACACACACACACACACACACACACACACACACACACACAGTAAACAAACACCTCATTAATTTCACCATAAAACACGACTAACAACAGCCGAATCCACGACAAACTTTTATAATGAGAAGAAATTGTCGTTCATAGTCATCAAATTTGTAAAAAAAAAATGGAATAAACAGGAAAGTTTGTCCGGTGTTTTAAAACTGTTTGTAAAGAATGCGACCGTGGTATTAGTTTTAGCATTCAGATTGGGTGGTCGGGGGTTTAAAGTTTAAGCATGGCTGACTGCCTCACCAAACTCTTATTATAGTGGGATATATACCTGTGTGGTGGTGGTGGTGGTGGTGATCCCTACCTTTCACCACAAACACCACCACCACCACCTGGTCTAGTTCAATTATTCCCATTAGTAACACCTGACCCCACACTACACCTACCCACTATTACTACTACCACTATCACTACTACCTGCATCACTTCACCCACACCACTACCACCACCAACAACAACAACACCACCATCATCACCACCCTCACCATCATCACCAACACTCACCACGGCTTTGTCAGTAGCACCAGCGCCGTCCCCACCACCAGGAACTTCTTCATTATATATACAATGAGGTGCATCCTATACCCCCCTCTCAACACCCCCACACTCTCCTCCACCCCCACTATACTACCTCCCCTCCCCTCCATCACCGCCACACTGCACCACCAACACCCCCCCTCCCTCCTCCACCACCCCCACCCACACATCACCAACACTCTCCACCACTATATACTGACACAACTATGGTAAACAATAATACAACCACCACCACTAATGCCATACTACTCTACAAATAAAATAGAAAAAAATAAACGAACAAAAATACGAATTAGACTAAAGGAGAATAAGAACAATACGAAGAAGAATCAAAAGGATAATAATAAAACAAAGAAGAAATAGACGAATAAAGAAGAAAAAATCAAGCAAATAAGAACGAAGGAAAAAAACGACAAACGAATGAAGCAAAAAAAAATCCCAATAAACGAAAGAAAAAAAAATCCAGACAAATGAAGAAACAGAAAAAATATATATATATGAAAATAATAATGAGGTCAGTAATAATATGGTATATCCCCCTCCCCTCCCCCTCCTCACCCAGCACTCCCCCCTCCACCCAGCCTCCCCCTACCTCAGAGACCACCTAATTACCGCCAGAGCACTTTACCTTTCAGCCCCCTTGTACTGTCCTGTGTAATGGGCTTCTGAAGAGGTGGAAACTATCATAAATTAATAAGGTCTCTATATATAGATGTCTAAGCCAGAACCCATATAGGAGTCCTTCAATTGTGATCTGTGTCTGTCGGTATGTTTCTCTTTCTGTCTGTCTGTCTCTCTCTGTCTGTCTCTCTGTTTGTCTCTGTCTGTCTGGTCTCTTTTTTTGTCTGTATGTGTCCATCTGTCTATGTATTTCTTTTTCTGTCCGTGTATCTCTTTCGTTGTCTGTCTGTCTGTCTCTTTTCTGTCTATCTGTCTGTTCCGCCTTTTTTGTCTGTCTCACTCTTTCTGTCTCACTCTTTCTGTCTCACCTCATGTATCAATCAATATTGTCGTCATGTTCGGCAATACTTTTAATGTCTCTTGTGGTTAGGTTAGGTTAGGTTGGGGAGAGGAGGAGGAAAGTGGACGAGATGGAGGAGGGAAGGGAGAGGAGGAGGAGGAGGAAGTCGAAGAAGAGGAGGAGGGAAGGACAAAGAGGAGGAAGAAGAAGGGGAAGAGGAGAGCGTTCAAAACTACAGTAGCAATGGAACGACACGATAAAAGATATAATAAAGAATAAAGTAAAAGGAGGGAAGAGAATGATGAGGAAGAGTAGAAGGAAGATGAGGAAGGGGCGAAGAAACAGAAAGAGGGAGAAAGAGGAGGATGGGAAAGAAGAGAGAAAGGATGTGGAAGAGAAGGATAAGGATGTAGTAGTGAAAGAGGAGAGAGGAGATAGGATGGGCGGTAAAGGAGAAGTATCGATTGGAGGTACTACATCGGGTGCGAACCGGAGTACCTCAGGATGGGAAGCGAGTACTTTATCCCACTTGTCCGATAACCCGTCTTGTCATTTTTTTGGGGGGGGACAGATAGAAGGGGGGAGAGAAGCGGGGAGAGAAGGGGGAGAGAGAGAGAGGGAGGATGGTGCAGTGAAAATTTGTGTATTAAGTTGCATGCAATGATAAATCCTCTCTCTCTCTCTCTCTCTCTCTTTTCTTTCTTTCTCTTTATTTGTTCACTTAGTGTCTTCTCTCCTTTGATTTCCTTCTCCCTACCTCCTGTCACTCGCAGTCACTCTCCTGTCCTCCCCACCCCCCACTCTCTTACCTCCTGCCACTCACCCTCACTCTCCCTACCTCCTGCCACTCACCCTCACTCTCTTACCTCCTGCCACTCCACCCCTCCTCTCTTACCTCCTGTCACTCACCCTCACTCTCTTACCTCCTGCCACTCACCCTCCTCTCTTACCTCCTGCCACTCACCCTCCTCTCCTACCTCCTGCCACTCACCCTCACTCTCCCTACCTCCTGCCCTCACCCTCACTCTCCTACCTCCTGCCACTCACCCTCACTCTCCTACCTCCTGCCACTCACCCTCACTCTCCTACCTCCTGCCACTCCCACCCCTCACTCTCTTACCTCCTGTCACTCACAGTTACTCCCCAACGAGGAAGACGTCACAATAATAAGCTTCTCTCAGGGTTCCCACACACACATCCTGACACAGAACACTAACCTAACATAATATAACCTATCCTCAACCTAACCTAACATAATATAACCTATCCTCAACCTAACCTAACATAATATAACCTATCCTCAACCTAACCTAACATAATATAACCTATCCTCAACCTAACCTAACATAATATAACCTATCCTCAACCTAACCTAACATAATATAACCTATCCTCAACCTAACCTAACATAATATAACCTATCCTCAACCTAACCTCACATAATATAACCTATCCTCAACCTAACCTAACATAATATAACCCATCCTCAACCTAACCTAACATAATATAACCTATCCTCAACCTAACCTAATATAACCCATCCTCAACCTAACCTAACATAACCTATCCTCAACCTAACCTAACATAATATAACCTATCCTCAACCTAACATAATGTAACCTATCCTCAACCTAACCTGACCTGACCTAACCCAGCTCCAAAATCTTAACCTACTCTAACCTAACCAACCCTAAGTGCCCTCCTCGCGTAAATAATAGCTAGAGTTTAGTGAATTCCTGCGTGTTTAGCCAAATAAGTATTGGCACAGGTCTACTTGGCTCGTCCCTCCCCTCCCTTCCTCAGGCGACCATAGCTAACGGGCCACACCTGGTAACGCACCTGGTAACGCACCTGGTAACACACATAATGACGCACCTGATGAAGCACCTGATAGCGCACCTGATAACACATCTAATAACACACCTGATTACACACCTGATAACACACCTGATAACGCACCTCCATTATCTTTTATTAATTAACTCAAGTCATTAACCTTTACCTTAAGCAGAGATTAAAATTAACACCGTCATGAACAGACAAATTCACAAGTTCTCTTAAGACTAAAAATTCTTAAGCAATAAACTTTCTCATTCAACTGCTTAATAATAATAATAATAATAATAATAATAATAATAATAATAATAATAAATCTATTTCATAACAATCCACAAATTATTGTTCATATATAAATACAGAAACGTGACCTAACAATCTAATGTGTGTAAACAAATAAATAAAATAACATTGTGTAACGTAATACACAAAGCTTACAGCATATTACAACACCAGGTAAGTCTGTATTCATTAACAGCAGCAAAATAATTAATAGTGAAACTGAACCCTTGCCATTAATTATAACTGTGTTTTTAAAGTATTATAAGAAGGGTTTATTTTATTTCCCGCCTTTTTTTTTCATTCATTACAGATCGAGAAAAGTGACAACATAAACACACAGCCATCACAAGGGTTCAGCTCCCATAGGCACTCTCCTTAATAGATTTTTCCAGGACAGTTTCCAGGGAGTCTACCGGTCTTAAATTACGGTTCTGTGAGTGTTCCTGGACAGATATAATTAAGGTCCAGGTTCCACACTGCCGTCCAGGATAAAAGTTTCTGAGCCAGGGTTACTTAAGCGCCCCTAGAGAGATATTCCCTGGTCGGCTTAACCTGGCGCTACTCGACCAACCTCCCCGAGCGACTAAGTTCCGCCAAATACCTTACAGTAATTAACATAAGGTCACCAATATTTGTTATGGTGAGTTTGGTGCACCGGAAGCCTTGTTTACACTCGGAAGTTCCAAGACCAAAACTAGCGGCAGCAGCGGCGGGCGAGATAGACTGACACAACTGTTCCGCGGCGACCCCCCACACCTGTACAGCCACACATGGGTCTGGCACAGCTTGGGGAACACGTCCGGCCTCCAGCGCGGTTGGTCGGGCACTGGCGGGTCTCGGTGCCGCCTCGGGATGCTGGGATTGCTGGAGTCTGTAGATCCCACCACTGGTCTCTCACCCACGTTATCATCCATCTGATGATTTGGATGAGACCTTCAAGAGATGGTAACCGATCCACTTAGGTTAAAAGTTTATCACGTGTAATAGGCCATCAAAATAACACTACCAGAAGGGTGTTATTTATGGTATTTCCCTATGATAAACAATGACAGTATTCCTCTAAGGTATTTTTTCACAACAAACAAAAAAAATATCACATCAGCTTACGGTAAAAATCACATTGAAAATTTCAGAGACATTTTGCTTATCAACTTGGTGTCGTGTTCAAAGGGGCTGTGTTAAATGACTCCTCACTTTTCCAGTTATGAGAATTTTTTTGGAGATGAGAGCCTTTGAGAAACTGTTCGTTACATGCGAGACTCAATCTTTACACGTGATAGGTAACACTAACTCCTTAAATATGTTCGCAATATGTCATCAAAAGAACATATATCATTTCGTTTATGAGTGATATGCCAGAGAGAGGGATTTCAACACAGCCAAGCCCTTGATATTTTCCAAGATAGTGAGTATATAAATGACACACACACACACACACACACACACCGTTCAATATTTACCCTGGCTTCTATAACGTTTGTCCAGGGTATCACCACTACACACATGTTATCACCACTACAAACAGGTTATCACCATTCCAAACACACTATAACACCACCAAACCAAACACCCTTCAAAAATTTACTCCAAACACTTTTATCAACACTCCAAACACTCTTCACACCACTCCAAACACTCTTCACACCACTCCTAATAGTTTAACACCACTTCAAACCCACTCAAACATCGATACTCTCACTGCACTCAAGCGAGATGCCAATTCAAGCCGGGCGGTGCCTCGTTATACCTCTTAACTACCAAACTCAGCAGTTCCGGTGGTTGTTATGGTGAATATATGTGTACCAAGTCAGGCCATTGTAAACTTTGTCCTGCGTCACGCTGTTAATTTACACACAGAGGCAAAAAAACAAAAACAACCAACACGACCTTGACCTTTTGACCTAAATAATAGAAGGATCACATGAAGATTAGCCCCCCCACCGAACTTATTTCACCTGATGATTATAAACTGTGCCCTAATGATACTGTACTTGAGGGAGTTACGTTAAGTTAGGTTTAGTTAGGTAAGGTTAGGTTAGGTTAGGTTAGCGTTGTTAATTTTAAGGTGAAATGAAGGGCTAATCTTCAAATACTAAAACAAACAAACAAACAAAAACAAACACACACACACACACACACACACACACACACTGCGACCTCAACCTTATAAACGCATCAGTTCCTGTGGTTGTCATGGTAAATATATACACCAAGATTAAATACGGTTAGTTGCGTTCACGACTGTACACTGACCGTCTTATAAATACCTGGCCTTAATAATCTACGGTGTCAGGCTGCCACGTTTCACTGATCACCCCCCGTGTGTCTTTATTTTTGTGTTTTGCTTTTGATCAGTTGAAAAATAATTAGTTCAGTTAGCCAATTGGACAGAGTGTGTGTGTGTGTGTGTGTGTGTGTGTGTGTGTGTGTGTGTGTCCACATCCCCCACCATATATCTAGTGTCGGAAGCACAACAACATTCCCATCAATAACAATACCGCAACACAGTCCATCGAGGACGTTCCGGACAACATAACTCAACAATATACCGGTGTGTGTGTGTGTATGACCTATCCTCTCCATCACGTGCTGAGTAACACCCACGCCCAACCTGACACCACTACCACCATCACTGACTGTGCGTTCATATACACCATCAAGCGGTTCACCCAACACAATACACACAATACCACCAGCGTTTACACCACACGTTTACACAAACGTTCATAAATCATCCTGTGTTCTTTACTTCAATAATACCATCGTTTATACATCATTAATACCAGAATTTACACAGTACTAATACCAACATTCAACCAATATCACCACCATTCAGAGAGCATTAATTGGACGCTCACCTGAAGATCAACTCCCCATCTTAAAGGTAGCAACTTGACTTCACCCCTCCAGGTAGCATTAGAGTAATTAATCATCAGGTGAAATAATCTAAGGGAGGGGTGTTAATAATCAGGTGAGTCTATTAAGATAAATTTGTACCGATGACCTAACCTGACATGACATGACATGACCTGACCTAAGCCGAGTAGTAATGATATACTGTAAGTTAAGCGAGCGAGTTGGATGCCTTTTTACATTTCTAGTCAAGAGGATAAACTCAAAGCACGAATAAGTTGGGATTCCGGAGCCTCGATTTTCGCAAATACTGGCTGGCATCAGACATAAACTCCCGTGGATCCTCTCACTAACATCAAAGTTTAAGTTGGATTGGGGTGAATTAGGTTGGTTTAGGGTGAATTAGGTTGCTTGGGTTGGATTAGATTGGATCAGGTTACATTAGGCTGAATTCGGTTGGATTAGGTTGAATTAGATTTTATTTGGGTGGATTAAGTTGAATTAGGTTACATTAGGTTGGGATCTAATGGGTTGTAATAGGACTGAAGCCCCCTGGACCAGTCACCTTATCATCTCAGTATCACCATCACGTACAGATGCTCAAGCAATGGAACGACCAGCGCGGGTCCCACTGCCGCCACCTGCCTCGTAATGTTGCCAGGACACCGCGTGCAATAAGCAAAGTGGCCACCAGCTGTGTTCTAAGAGCCCCCTCTCTCCTGCGATAACTGGACACTTCCTCTCAAGGACACTTTAAAATTGGCTGACCTCTTAACGAAAGCGACACATGCGTTTACTTCTGGGGTGGTGACTGTACCCTCACATACCTCACCATTTGTTTACATGACAAATCTCGCTCGTAAAACACAATTGGTTAACAGCTGATAAACCTCTCCCTTGATACACCCTGAGGTAAGACATCAGCTGTTATTTATAAGCAAACCCGAGTACACCTTCACCTCAGGGGTATTGCAACATACAAACATATTTCTGACTTTACTAAATGACTAATGCAACACTAACTGTACACCAGCAACAGACCCCTACAGCGTGGACCAACAACACACACGGTACATCTCATTCTGGTATTCCCCAGTTAGGAATTTTGTTTTCATTTAATCCTACAACCATTCGCTGTATGTACTGTTTTAACATCCCTCTTAACCTGTTGTATGAAATAATGTTCAATTAATGCTGTCGCCTCCATGACATCACTAATGAACCAAAACTAAAATCAAAACTAGTGACGCTGGCTGCCATATCAGTGTCCCCAGGTAGGGTGGTGCCGCTGCCTCTCGCCACAGGGACACGACCATTCGAAACACAACAAGCTAGTAAAAAAAATTAAACGAGTTCACAGGCGCCGCACCTTTTGAAGATGACCCTTTGTTACAGCTTTTTTGACCTCTGATCACTTTGGGAATAATCTAATTTTCCTACCCTTTGTTGCCGGGCAGCTTAATCCACTTGGTCTGACCTGTGTCTCATTAAACTAGGCACTAAAACTTTTCAATAAATAAAATAAAACATTAATACAAAAAATATTACAGTATAGAATATAAAATTGTGGTACTATGAGTCTAGCCTTCGAGGGAGCATTGGAGTACACCCTGCATATGCCTAGCGTGTCGGAAAATGCAGGTAGATGTAACGTAAAAGGTAGAAAGAGAGATGCGTCATCCCAATGCAGGTAAGGAACATAACAGGTGCTCTACTAAAGGTGTGTGTACAGTACATCTCCCCCGCCGCGCCGTAGTAGTAGTACAGGTCCCTGGGGCAACAACACTGTGTATAAAGAAATGGATTAGTGAACTCCTCCAAGGGTTTGTTGTGATATACCACCATACCAAACAATTTGTTAAAGCCATCCTGTTGCCAAAGTTGTACCCCAGCACACACACACACACACACACACACACACACACACACACACACACACACGTAAGAAATGTGGACTGTTAGACGGGGCCCACAGGTGCCGCCCTATACACCTGTGCGCTCCATCATTACCCAGAAACTTTATCCCCAACAAGGTATCACAAGGCACGAAGTCCTCCTCACTGCTCTTGCCTCCAGCCGCCTCAGGTAAACACGAGGATAGAAAGACTTTACTGTACAAACACTCTAAAACCTTTACATTGACCCATAGCAAAACCTGGAACCAAATTTCCCACGTGTCCCTACCGCTGGCCACCGCTCGTGCTCTGAGTCACCAGGCACACTACCCAACCAAATGGGCAATTTTTGTTCCTATCACGAGGCAGAAATGGATTACAAGTCTCATTCTGCACCCAGTTCACTCTCTTAAAGTGCTTTTGATCTTCCGCTTTGCCTTCCTCCCCACCCGCCGCATCCTTTCATGTTGCCGTGGCCAGCACAACAACACCCAGGCAGGGAAGCGTGGTGCTCGTGGTGTTGATTCACCTGGCACAGTACAGCACTTACCTGGTCAT